CCCGAATTGCTTGAAATAATATGTTTATACGAAATGTTACTACGGAATAATCTTTGAGACCTACCTAATGAAGAGAGCTACGTTTTGCTTAGCCGACTCATGATTCAATGCACCAATAAGGAAAACAAGAGACAATATCTGTAATCAAAGGTAGATGAAACGTCATACGAAAATATTGTTTTAAATCGCTATTATTTTTTCATTATCTATACTATTGTACGGTACTATATTTGGCTGTGGGGATTATGTATCTGTTTAGATCGTTACGTTTCTAATTGTCAAGAGTGGACTTAGCAAACCCTGACTCGACTTATAGAATATACGTATGGCGTAGATTACTTATCCATATAACACTAACGAAGATCAGTTCTTTAAAATTGCATACCTTAAAAAGCACGAGCCGAATGATCTTATGAGCTGGAATAGCTTCGGAAGGGGCCGCCGCCGCCAATAGATACATTGTCACTAAGATGCAAGCCGATTTCATTACAATAGAAGAATAATATTCAAGGGATGCCATTGTAACGTAATAAATAGGCGATGGTCGATTGTATCGCCACCATACGAAAGCTAAAGCACACACGACAGCTGCAAACAAACAGAAGACATAGACACATTTATACACCTGTAAGATACTTCGTAGGTTCGGACATTTTTTTTTTTTTTTTGTTCTAAATTTTGGAACTTCAATGAAAAAACAAACAGTGGGATACCATAACCGTTCAGAAAATTCACCTCATTTTCTTAGATCGATTGCCGTGTGGTTGAAGGCGCTTTGAAAATACAAGCCAGCCTATGAGATGCTTTTAGGTTGAAAAGGCCCAAAAAAGACCCAGTGGCGAAAAAGCGTTCACAGTTACCACCGGTCAAGCAGCGTCGATGCATCGACTGATAATTTTTTTCTTTAAACTGAATCCTGCTTCCTCTTGGTTGCTGTAATATTTTTTGCGCCTACTTGGTAGTTTTATCTCTTTGTGGTGAGATAGAAATTTACCATGGCCGAATTGGGTGGCCATAAAAGATGTCAGAGAAGTGCAGCTTTAAACTAAGTTCCTCACCGGCCACACCCGATTAGCGCTAGTCTTATCAAACGGCTGTACAAGTTTATCTGGATAGGTACGCATGAGATTACTAAATTTTTTTAAAGGTTTTGATACCTCCTCAAACATACCGAGCTATAAAAATTCACAGCGGTTTAGCATTCGAGGAGCAATTCGTTAGCACAGTGGACATATGTTGGCCAAAAGACACTACTTTCCCAATAATATCATGTTGATTTCTATGATTCTATGTATGATCATCTAAGTTGCATCGCATCCAGTGGAAAAAAACCCTCAACAGCAGGTGTGTCTCAGCGAATTTAGTTTACTTCAGCTTTTCGGGGTTTCCCTGTTCCCAAGAGTCGTATAGACGTCGCCGAATTTGAGATAGGTCAAATACGTTGACGTGTGGGATTTTTGACAGAAACTCTCTCCGTAGTGGCAACAATTGGCGTAGCAAGGCAGAATCAGTTAGTCTTCTAAACACACAGCCGATGAGAGCCTTTGTTTCTCGTAGAGGTCGTAGGCCGGTCGTCGCCAATCATGAAGTACTGAATTTGAATAATAGAGAATTGAATATAAAAGCAAATGATGTTTGAAACACGACCCCCGTTTTCAGTATAGGCTTTGATTTGGACTGATAACAGATGTAAAAAGAAAGAGAATCCGCGCTTAGCGCCAGTTACTCTTAAAAACACCAGGAACAGAGATCATCGGTACATTTGTAGTGGTTCTATGTGAATGATTTATTCTCTTGGTTTGAGAGTAGTTTATTTTCTTGGATTGAGCTTGAGGTACACAGTAGTATCAAAATGAATAGTTACAGAAGAAAAGAACCAGTGTTGCAAAACAAGTTACTATCTTTATAGTCAAACATCGTTTAGCTCTCCATAGGCTTGCGTAACTTTCCGAGTACCTAATATTGTCCTAAGTCCAATCGACAAATATAGCGCTGCGGCTAAATCATTTCCAATTTCTGTGGAATTTCTATAGAATATTTTTGCGACGCAGACTTTGGCTTGATGAATTTTAGGACCGAAAAATACCTCCACTGTTCTTCAATCAATGTTTTATTCTGCTTCGGGCCAGCTTGTTATGCCCTTTGAATGTGGGCACCGTAACAGTAACGCTAGGAAAACTTCGTTACGTCATCTTGAAGACATTCAAGGACTTTTACACCCTTCAGGCGCGCCCCGTACGAAAAACGGCTTGTACCGCATGCCAATCCGAACGAATAAAAGTTCAGTAAACTTTCGCCCATAGCGCAGACCGATACGCCAGACCTTGGGTATGGATAGCACATAAAACTAGTAGTTATGGATAGGACTGGGAAGTTTGTTTTGTAAAAAAATATAGCTAACGTATAAAGCAGCGCCTTGGTTACTACAGGCAAGGCCAATGATATCTCGCGCGTTTAGTTCACTCTCTGAAAATGGGAGAATGTCCACTTTTTCGTATCTGCTGGCAACGAGCGTTGATGCACAATTTGTCCTTCCTACAACACAGCTAATTTTCTCCGACGAGAAAAACTTCTTATACAATTCCAAAATGCTTGTTACGATAGTGAACGAGTACATCGCGTTACATTGGAGTGCGGTAGGACTACCGATTTGATACAATATGCGCAGACGAGATTCGACGGTACGAACCGTTGAAGCACTGACGAAAAGTCTGCGTTTCACGATCACTTAACACTATGTCTACCAGTAACTATGGAGTCGCGCACAACACTGATGGACTATGGATTCAAACTCCCTTTTATTAAGCGATAACTTTACCATCGTTGTCTATTCCGAGCAAGCGCAAGAAGGCATCGATAAGCCTATGGCAGGACAGCACAGTAACGCCCAGTAAGTCGGATGCTACCGCTGTATGGGCAGTATGTCGTATAAAGAAGTGATCCCGACGCACGCGCAGGTGAGCATTGAAAACAGATGGAAGTCCTTATCGTCATTGCGCACACCAATGACAAATATTCCAGACGACGATAAAAGCATTATCCTAGTTAGATTCCATAAGGATAGGAAGAAACAACCGGTTTATACGTGTGTACGCGTACGTCAACATTACTATACGGAGAAGAATTTATCGGGTAATGCCATTTGCCATCGAAAAGATACATCCATTAAACTATGATGGCTCGCTCGCAGTCAATGACTGTTTATCATGAGTACGTATTTACGTCATTCGATCATTGTAGGCAACTAGGAGATGTAAATCAGACAATTTACTTTTGCCCTAGACAGCCGTTTTCCGTTGGATTAATGTCAATGTCATTTGATTCGATTATATCTTCCGGATCTACGACGACCAAGTACGGCATGATGCTTCAGATTACTAGGCAATAAACTTATTCAATAGAGAGCACACGATATATGGCCATGTCGAGACGCGTTACAAGTCGCAGCGCCGGTCTAAAGGTTCAGTTCAGACGTTTATAATTCAGCAAAAAGATATTACATATACTAGAATTGACTGAATTCTATATTACGATAGGGCAAGTATTTGATGTCTGAGGTGTTTTTTTTCAAGCTGAAGATACTACATTACAGTGAGCAAATGTGTGCCTGTTTGAAGACATAGGTACGAATAGTGTTGCTAAATATATTGAATTCGTATTTACCGCACCGGATTGCTTCTCGCTAACGCCTACTTTACAATCATCCCAACCCAAATCCGCCATAAATCGCCACTCGTAACATTCATTATATTTACACATTTCGAAATTGTTTATATATGTGTATACACTTCGTTGCAACTGAAACATTAGTAACGATGCAATCTATTATTTTTATCTTTAAATCTAAAGATAACAAGTCCGTATCTGAGAGGCATAGAAGGGTGTCGAACCGACTCGTTTGCAATGCTCGTACGAGTGCGTAAATCGGAAGGCGAGCAGAAATCCAAAGAAATATAGCCGTCGGTTTTACAGTAACCCGAAGCATTTATGTGTCTCCTAATAGTGGCTAAAGCCTCCCATATTAAAGTCCTGTTTCACATGCTTTGTGGATAGCAATCAGCTTTTCTATTAATGGTTAGTGCGCTAAGCCCTAAGTTTCTTATAGCAATGAGACTTAGCATTTAAAAATAGAGGCGATGGTCCGTACTGCTGTCGCGTTCCCAAAATATGGACTAGCGTTTTCTTTTTTAAAACGTCTCTGTGTTGTTCCTTACACTGAACATGCCACCGCTGCCCAGTGGTGGATATCTAGCCCAGAGGATTGAACCCACCTCTGCACTTCTGAGTTTCTATCTATATATATACATATATTCAGAGAAACGGGACAAGTGCAGGCTTCATTTGGATAATGCGTTATATTATTACTGTAGTTGGAAAAGTGTCTTTTACACTGAGTTTAGATTTCGTCATTATCCTTTATTATTGTTTGTTTCCGCGTCTCTTTTCGGTCGAACAACAGCTACCCAGCTGGGTTTAGAACCGAATTCGGCAGTTTCACGTACGCCGAACGAAATCCTACCACGACGCTCCTCTGCGAATAGAACTGATAAAGAAGATCGCGACCGTCATTGGCCGTACGATGTATAGACACAGATTGAGTGCTGTTGTATTCAGTATTAATAACCGGCCGTATTGATCGCCAGCGAGCAGTAGAGAAATACTAATATTAACACTGTGAACGAGGATTAATTAAATGATAACCCTTGGAACATGCGGGAATAGTGGTGCATTCTCACAACGCAACCCGAACGGGGCTATCGTATTGACAAGTGGTGGCATGCACATAAATTAAGCCCTCCGTTCATTGATCTTTTCCGTACTGCTCGACGCTAAACGTACGTACACGACGTCGCTATGCCATCACACGACGTAATAAAATCAAACACCTGTACCACTAGCGTTACGTTTTTTCATCATTTTTAAAATGTCTATTTGTGAATGCCTTGATTATTGCCATTTTCATTCACTGCAAGCGTATGCATATGGATTTTTTTTCCAGATGCAGCTGTGAGTCCGTTAACAACTTATAATTACAATGGGAACTCACATATCGGAACTTAGCGGTTCGCACTAATGAAGTAAGTTATGGTTGTACAGATAGACCTGTCGTGTGCTGTAACGCGTTGAGTTTTACCTATCGAGATGGCCATCCTCTGCCCACTATGAACAAGTTTTCTATTTAGTCGACAAACACAGTTCCCTAAAAACTAAATCGTACTGCTAACAACAACAAATGAATAGAATAGCGATTCGTTCGTAGAAAAACCTGAGAGACCCTTACCAACCTGTTACGTTGGGCAATAAACGAGTAGATCGCCCCCTGCAGAAACAAACAGCACTGTTTATTAGATAATGTTTGACAGTGGTAGATCCTAAATTTGTTAAGTGGAATGTAAATATTTTCTACATTAAATAGGTAAAAGTTTATCGTACTACTATCGGCCGACTACCGCAAGATAAACTCAGTGTGTTCTGCGGTATGGCAAACACCGTTGATTGCAACTGCATCCCAATCATTGGAGCGGTATTCACCAGAAGTATTAAATATGATTTCGGGTTCTGTGTCGACAGCTTGACCTGGCACCCCCGTTCATCAAACTAGCTTCCCACTGATTTTAAATAACCCAGAATCAAAGACAACTACAATCAGACTGACGAATATCACTAGCGGTAATAAATATATTATTATTATAGGCAATAATAATTATGATTCATGATATGAACGGGACCTCTGTTGCACGGGAAGGTCTTGACCCAACTTGCCGTTATCATCGGACTGAAGAAAGGCCGTTAGCTGCCTATTGAATGAGGTTTACCTTCGCTATACATAAGACTTAGGTAATGGCAACAGCAGGTTTGTGTACAAAAAGTGGTTTTTTTAATTGAGATAAAATTAAACTGGACGCGTGTTAACTGGAAAGTTGAACGTTAACTGTCGTACAGGAAAAGGACGCCAGATTATTCAACGAAGCTGTAGCTCTATTTCGATGGACTTCTGAGTTTTTGGCGAACTTTAGCAGCGTGCTGCACCAAAAATAAGAATGAGTTATTTAGTAAAGCGGCAACTCTTAACCGTATTTAAGCACCATACTCCACTGCTACAACAACGTTGTAGCTTTGGTTCAATAATTTTTAAGTTGAACAAGTTGTCTTCTAAACTTCCGAATAGATGACTTATGTTAGTTGGTCGACGTTAAACGTTACAGAATAGGTATAATTAATCTTTAAGTATTAATCAGCGCACTTCTTCTGTCATTTCTGTACTTACCTATTATTCGTGCTAACCGAATGATATCGTTCCCATCAAGACTAGACTTTATACTACTTCTAATCGTTCAGTGTAAACCTGAGTTAAAAATTAAAGTTCGTCGATTAATTTTATTAAAAAAATATGAAAATAATACCAGCGAAATAAGCCATTCTATGTATTGCGTCGTTTGTGCACAAACACCCCTCGGACAACCATTTCTTTACCACCTCTCACCTAGTAGTGTATGTCTTTATTTGTAGGGCTTGTTGTTTTATTAAAATGAAAAAAAAAACTGCCTCTAATCCTGTTCTCTAAGCCTAAAGCTTCTGAAAGCCACTGAAATTCGCTAATGAGCAGTGGAGAACGTATACAGAATTTCCATAGGCGATTTCTAATTAAGCACTAAGGGTCTGTTTCACCTCGAACGGGACGTCAACGCTGCCATTCTAGTGATAATCAATTCGGAATCGATACTTTTCTTTTTAAGGTAGGTAAGTCTCCTATAGGTAGGTACAATGTTAAATAACGCTAACCTTGTCAAGTGGCTCCGGCCTGTAGCCTAGCCTGATTCCTTCATACGCTGTGAGGGTTTATGGATGTAGACAATCTAGTGGCTTGCCAAGAAGAGGCTAATCGTGGACATAATTTCGCCGCTGCACTTATATACCTTGATGCATAGGAATCTTCCATGAGATTAGCAGTGCTCACATCTTGATGATTTAACATATATCTCACGGATATTTTTATTTTTCTTCACGGATAATATTATTCAGTATCCATTGATACAATTAGAGGAAATGTTATATGGATTTAGCCAAAATAGTATTATGCCTCGTTACATCTAACTTCTATCACTTATTATAAGTGCACAGTGATTTTTCAGCACGGGATTATTGTACTAGAGCCATTGTACTTATTGAAAATTTACACTTAGTTCAAGTTAGAAAACGTTTTAACATCAAGATCAAGATGCAGACTTCAATTGCAGTAAGATGATGTTTTACTATACTGCCTGTCAGAAGGTTCCTGTTCGAGTCCGTCAAGCTAACAGGAAGTCTAAATCAGATTAGTAAGTAACAGTTACCTGTATAAATACATACACTCGGTACCATGAAGTCGGCTGTGTATAAGGCTCTTAAATAAGATGCTTAGGTACCTTAAACACATGGAGTAATACGTTTAGAATGTAATTGTTGTTCTTGCAGTTTTTTTTTTCACACATATACACGATTTCGATCGATGACCTTCTGCCATTCTTCTGGTAACAGCATAATTCCAATATTGTAAAGCTTTTACGGCTTCCAGGTGACAAGCTATCCTAAGTGATTTTAGCATTCCTTTATTGAAAGTCAATAGATGTAAACAATAGTGCAGTACGGCGGGTGCACTTTTCCATCTAAGATTTCCCAATTTTTTTAGCCAGCTAAAAACGTATGTGATGTGACATTGTTATAATAGAGGACGATGGCCTTTTTTGCCCACTAGTTTCGGTCGATTTCTTCACTGGGATGTTGTAATCTCGTTAGTTATTAACAGTAAAAGTTCGACTCAATCATTTTGTCTTCCTTGCCAGTTCCATCAAACAATCACCTTCTTTGATTGAAACAAATTTTCGAGTACTTCTTTTATTTGCACATTATTGTCGTACGTTAGCCACCTTTCCTCGTGACCAGCCACCCTAGAAACGCTTCAATTTCGTTGCGTTTCTGCTGAATTTTACAAATAGAAGATAAAGTGTCCTGCATTAATTCGTGTAATATCAACGTTTTTGATAGCCAGTTCTTCTCGGATAATTTAAAATTGTACAGTACTTCCGCGATATTAAGGCCATCTACGTGTCGCTCATTCTTAACCTTCACGACTGCTTCATCAATTTTTTTTTTGTAGTAGATTAACTACCACATCAGGGAGCGACCTCCACATCAAATCTCCAGGACAAAACCGATGGAACTATTTAAGCCGTTTCTTTCGATAACGCAGAGCAATTTGTTATGAGCCTTTCCAGTGTTTGTGGCCTTCTCGTAATAATAGAATTGTATAATATAGTTACATATCTAATACACAATTTCGCCGAAATTGCACTCATTGTTTTGTGTTAATTTCGATCACAAGAATCGCGACGATTCTACTAGGCATCTACTACAGTCGAACTTCAGCTTTCAAATAAGGACAACGCTGAAGTATGTGACTTCAGCCATCTAAATAGAAAAACGGCCAATACGTTTTTGAAAGTACGCGACTTTTGACAGATTTCATCATATGAAAAACATTTTCAAGTCAAAGAAAAATAGATTGAAATATTAGATATGATTAACAGAGTAACCCTATAAGCAAACAAAGTGTATCATAACGCTTACTTAGTAACGCTTATTACTTGTCTTCAATTTACTCAACAGTATTTGTCTTCTTCGTAGCGTTTTTGATTTTTATTGTCGATTGTTATTTAAATCTGCTTTTCAGTCCATGTTTTAGTTGATGGCTCCTTGCTTTTCCAGTTGTTACACTTTTTTTAACCTTACGATATCTTTTTGATGAACGTTTAGAAAATACTCTAGAAAATACTGCGGCGTTGTAATTGGCTATTGTACAGATAATAAGATAGTATTAAACAAAACTACGGCTTGAAATTGGCTTTAGGATCTTTTCAAAACAACCAAAGCATTATTGGGGTTATTGCTAAGCGCCACCGGATAGTACTGAGTATACGGAGCTCAGTATTTTGCAGTGGACCGAAAAATGGGTGGGTACAATTTCGAATTCTCTGTTCAGATGCACCATAGTACCTCACTGTAGATATGCATATCAAACTGTCAAAAAAATTATCTCTGCGGCACCTATTAACTCCTTATTGGCCAGCATGCTTACAATGAATCTTACTGCATAATCATCAGTTTAATAGCGCCGTTTATATTCCACCTGCATTGGCCTCAAATACCAATTTCGAACACGGCTTCCTAATGTAGATAAATTGCTCTTTTCCTTCGAGCCCCTAAAGTACTATGCACTATTTGATTTTCTATAGCTTGTTCGACAAGAAGAGAAAACCAAATAAGAAAATTAATTTAAAAAAATACATAGACAACTTCATTCTAAAAAAACATTTTTTAATACCTTCTACATAACTTTGTGAGCGGAGACGACTGAACTATCGTGTTTGCTCTCGGCTCGGTTTGCGATCAGCATCTTCGTAGAACTTCGTAGAATGAGCTCTCCCATAGCTTCTCAAGATATCAGATTTATTAAAGAAAGTACCTACGTACTGCAGAAAGGTAATATAAAATAGAAGGGTCAATTATTAGCTGAAATATGCAGTGAAAGAAGCCTGGAAAACATGTATCTTTAAGATTTTTTCCTATAGTAAAAGAATGGAAACGTGATGTAGCCTGGAATAGTTTAGGACGAAATAATTTGGCCCACTTAATTTGACAGACATTGGGTTTCAATCTTCTACTGCACCCTCAATAAAAACAGTTTATAACCCATAAAATATTTGCAATTAACTACTGTCAGAAGACACAGACATTGCAAACGCGTACTATTATATATATATATATATGCATGTTAAGGCATACAACGAAATCTTTCCCAGATACTTCAAGAGCCATTTAACAACTGGCAAAAGTCTTTAGATTAGTTTATTTCGGTAACTTAGACTTTACCCAACACGGAGTCATTGTATAACAATAGATAATGCTTGTTCATTTTCAGAAAGCAAAACTTCCGGATTCTAGTAAACAAAGTGTGCCTCTAGTGGTAAGCACAGCGAATGAACGCATGCGGGCGACGACAGGGAGCCCCCCAGAATGCATCTCAACTTATCCCGAACACGCTGAGTATACTGTAGGTAAGTAATGTACTGGAGAAACTTCATGCATAGCATAACTAATTACAAAACTGTTGTTGGCGGTATTTATTATTCCGTAGATTGTGTACGACTGTCAATTTTTTTTTTTTTAGTAAACAAGATCTGATCTGACTTTCTCTAGAAGTACATTTATCCATTACGACCATCTACAATTTGTACACTGAAAATGCAATAGAAATGGCCGATCTTGTTTGTGTATCTTCACTTTGTGACTCTGTACCCTATTACATGGCATCTATCTACTGAACCCACACATCGTAATGATGTACAATTAGTATTATATATAGACACGTATAAAGTAGGGCACCTAAAAATCAATTGTCTTTCAGACTATACTTAAACTGTCAAATAGTGTTAGCGGAACGAAATTTTCTGCGTACTCGATTTAAGAGGATGCCATAATTATATTTTCAGTCCAGACAACAAATCGCGAAATGTTCCTCCTTTGATCCGACAACATTTGCTTTGCTAGAGACCGTGCGACAAGCTGTAACAATAAACGCAAGCTTGTTGTAGTGTCGCAGGAAACCTCGACAGAATTTAGCATCAGATGGATGGTCAACAGGTCAAAGGTGGTAAAAAAGTGCCAATAAATACTAGAAGTACAAAACACACAGGAGGTCCCAAGAAAACTAGCTCAGAAAGAGCTGATTTGGACGCCCTAACTGACTATCCATATCCAGCCCTACAAAAAATTTCTATATAAAAAATCGAGGCGTCTTTTCAAGCCACTTTGATAAACTTTCACAGAAGTTATTTCGGTTAGCCTTTTGGAAATGTCCGAATTATTCGGAAGCCGCGTAAAAACTAATAGTAACATAGACGGCTGATATGAACAAAAAAAGTTGATAATTTTGGTGGTGATTCATCCCGCACGAATACAGCCGATCATAACTGACTTTTCTTAGGTTCGCTGTTTAGTTCGAGAAAAAAGGCTTTTTTCATATACCAAGAATAGCGAATGTATGACCGTCACGACAAACAGCCCGTCAATATATTCTAATGTTCCTTCTAATATATGTGGCTCCATCGAGTAATCGACCTAAATGGGTAACTGAGCAAATAGTTGATCCCTGTTTATAGACCTTCAGGCATATGAAATCGCGCACACTATAGCATCTAATCTAGCGTAACGCGTTTGTTGATTCTGCCTGAACGCATATCTGGATGTCACAATACGCTGTTCTAAATTTCTACACGGAAATCCTAGAGATACATGCATATTGTGTAATTACAAGTTTGTGTAGCCCAGAAAATTTCGATCTGTCTGGAGATACGCGGGATACGTACTAAAAATAGTAATAGTCCATCGAGGCACTGTAGTACAACATTTCTAGTAAGTTCGAGGTGAACGAAGGTCGCTAGCTTCATTATTAAGCCCCCCGATCAACCTGATGTTAAATCCACACGCCGACGCTTTACGTTATTAACTAAACTGAGACGTATTGTACGAAGTACTACATGACGTACGCATTATTCTAGCAGAGTCAGAACAGTATCGGGCGGTGTCGTTGCGATAATTATGAGCTTGACACGAAACACAAACCAAACTAGTTTCTACAAGGATATTGTAATTGATATCTGGGAGAAATTGATACAAACCATTGAGTTTAACGCATACAGAACTAATTGGTTGGTGGAAGTTCACTATATAATCTACTGCTCTACACACTACCAGTCACAATACAGACATAAAATCCTCAGCATTGAAAAAAAGGAAACGCACCCATCAATAGGATTACAGGAAAATAAATTTAATTGAAGGCAAGGGCAAAGGCAAATTCACAAACACAAGCATTCTCACTTCATCTTTAGATCTCCTATTTTTTAAATGAAAAGAAAGTTTTGGTGCAATGAACAGGGCTCTGGTCACAGAGCAACCATAATTGAATAAAGAAACGTACAGATAAGCGAAAGCTGAGCTAGAGGATATCAAACATAAATACTATATATATATATGAAATAACGCGTACCCCAATAACATTGTCACCCTAAGTAAGGACAAATACTTTAAAATACACAGCATACCAGTATAATTGTGTGACAGCGAAGTTGTTTACATTGTTATGGGGCAATTTATTAGGTACATTACATATGACAAGATATAAGTAGAATACGAAGCGTCGCAAATCGGTTGCAAGTTTACGACTGAGAACTTTGTAAAGCAACATAAACGACGAAAAAAATATGGCTCTAGACTTTTGACCTTTCATAAAATTGATACAGTCAGTTCTAGACGCCGTATCATTTACAAAGGAATGCGTATTTATTAGCCCAGATTGTGGGTTTACTTCAAATCTATACATCTAGGACCTATACATCGGACAGACTTCGGTACGGTTATAGGTCGCGAGCAATCTGTAATGCTTACCTAATATAGTTGAAAAAAGCACTGTGTGCTTTATGTTATATACATCTTTCGCAGGAGACGTGTTAGTACAGCTTATGTCGGAATGGCACTACACGAGTTGAAGTAAGTTCCATCTTTAGCGTTGGTAGCACCACACATATTTCCAGTGGGTGTTTATCTGTTACATATGTAAGCCCCGCATTGACAGATTAGCACAGACGCAATTGCCTGGAACGACCTCAAAACTGGTTTTATAAACAGGTGAAGAACACAAATAGAGCTTTCACGGATGTCTACTTATTAATCGGTCTACACACTTTCATATACCACAGATTGGAGCATACTCCTACACTGATACAATGTATTCAAAAGATTTTTAATTTCAGATTGAACGAAAAACAGCAGCTGGTAACTTCTTTCTTCCAACTATAAGCCACCAAGATGGTGCAAAGCAGTGTACACACACACACCTACATATTCTACATACAAATTACATGCACGATACGGTCCTGTGATTACCGCAAAGTGTTTTGCTTTTTTTTGCTTCCATTCTCAGCGATATCCAGCTCCCATCTATATTTAAAGCATAAGATGTTTTCAAAAAAAAAAACTGTTCATTTTTCATGCCCTCCATTCGATAGTGTTTTCACGTTAATATAGTAATTGTACCGTTACAGAACAAATGCACAATTTCCTCTCAAGTCAAAAAGAGGTATGGGAAAAAATTCTATGTACATGTAAAAGAATGAACGAATAATTCTGCTCATATTGAAAAGAATATACGTCGTAGGTGCGCTCTTTGCATGGATTATAATTTTTAAATACACGCTGGTGTTAATTCAAAGCACGAAAAAGGTTCATAGAAACAGGTTGTATGCTTTCCTGCTTATTGGATCATAGGCCTAATCTTGTTCTCGCAACTATCTCGTTTCATCCTTTGAAAGGTCCATAAAAAACCGAAACAGATCTCGTCAATCTTAATGATCTAACACTGTTACCAGAGGCATCATTTGCTTGTCCAAAACTCGTTGCCAAGACCATTAAAAAACGAAACCCTTTATATTAAATTTACAATAAACTCACATCCGTTTTCGGACCAGGACAAAGTAGGGCAGCGAGGATTTGTGGAAATTCTATTCTGGGGAAATCCATATTGTTATAAATAATTTTACCCGTTTTCGAAACGCTGTTGGCTATAGCGAAACGAACTGTTTTACCCTGATTCATTCCCAAACATACATTACAAAAATAGACTACTTAACATCCTATCGCAATGATTATAAAAGTCACAGTCTTTGAAGCCAGCTTATGCTATTTGACACAAAATATATACCCAAATATATCCGAAACACCAGTAGTTGATTTTTTCCCAAATGTAAACCCAAGATCGCCCAACTGGAATTGAGAGAATTACTCGGTTATATATTCTCTGACTAAATACTTCGAGCGAAAATGTCCTCCTTACCAATCATCTTCGCAAGGCGTTATAAACACCTGCTCCTTAGATGAACCTGCCGATCATCCTGGTACCTGTCTATATGTTTGCTGCTATTTACGACAGTCCCTCCCCTCCCTCCCGTTCCCGCACCAGATCTGTTGCTTTTATTTATACCATTTGAAAATTCATTTCTGTGTTTTGTAAATGTTACACTCATGAGTACACTTTTACCTGTTCATATATCGCGCACAGGGACCTACACATACCGAAATACATACATGCTCCAATACATTAGCTTTTCAAAGTCCTGTAAATTGCCATCCATATTAGGTGGAGGGTATACGAATCGTGCTGCCTTTAATAACTTAAAGGCACGTTATATTTATTCAATAAATTTGCTGACTAGTCGTATATTTGTGGAATACGTGAGCTCGATGATTTATCGCCTTACCCATAACTGAGACACGCGGCCTGCCTCATTCTATAACGGGAAATGTCTATAACAGGACAGGTTATTTAATTTGTTTCTTCTTGGTTCGTCGGTCTTCTTCCGGCTCTTTTCCGCTTTTACTTCCTCTCGATCAAACTAATAGATCGCGCTGATCATTTACTCAGTAAGCAAAAGTTTTGTAATGACTCATTGCGTCGATTACTTTTCACAGGGGTAGCATTTGTATACACACTTGTTTTTTACGTACACGCATGCAATGCACCCGTACGTGCAGCGTGAAATGCCCTCAGCGAGATCCTTGTACAGGAGTCGAGATTCTTCATATTTCAGGCACATCTAATCACGGTCAAATGCACTCTTTTAACACCGCGTCAATTTAGAATATGTATATATATATATACGTGGACGATGTACACGAACGAATCAATTGTGCACTTTTCACTACAAAATCGATAACGTCTAGTTTCCGTCTGTTGTTTTTGCCCTTAGTATTTCTCCTTCCGAACAGTGCTATCCAGCTTCATCAAAAGATTAGCTACGTTACACTTGGTAGACGGTGGCACACCTTCGGACTATCGTTTAAGATAGCACAATACATAAATATGGTAAGTAACTTGGTAATGGTAAGTGAAGAAAGGTTACATTACATAAATAGAGCACAATATACACTAAGAAGGGACACGTGAACAATTAGGCTTATCTTATACAAGTTACAGCGGTTATCCATTACTCCTCTAAGATGACAAATTGACGCCGAACGTATCCTCGCATTCCTGTAATTGCATATTAGCCTAACGTAAATAACAATTTTATCGCCAGGTTTAAAATCTTAGTAAAAATTAATAAGCGGCACAATTGGCTGGCCTGTGATTGAGTCGTTATGGCCACTTACATCCTACCGGTGGTCACAAGATTTACTTTGCTCTTCCCAGCCAGGTAGGGTATCATGATTTTAACCTTGCGGCATCTGTATTCGCTGACGCCTCTTAAAATCACCCCCCACCCGAGTGCCGGATACCTCGCGTAGCCACTCCGTTAACAAATGAATCCAAGTTAATACCCGTTCGAATGAACTTACAATTTACCGCCTACAACCCAAATTTCATTTTATCCTGTACAGTTTTCAGGAGAAGTTATTTAAACAGCCGGTATATTAACAAGCTTTTGGTATTATGGTCTAAAAAGCCTAGAATATATTAATCCGCACATGACTCTGTAACATTTATGATCACCAGTGCAACACTATGTACACGTTGCGTGACTTGTGGTACTGGGCTCTACTCCTCCTCGTATCACGTAAACCTCCGGAATAGTTGAGGGGGTCCATCTACTAACTATCCATCTCATTACGAACGTAATTATAAATAGCTTAAATATACTTAAAAACGTTCTCATTTATCGTGAGCTAAGCTCCAAGGTTCCACTTGTCTTGATGTTGATTCTGTATTTTCCATATGTCGCGGTCCACTTCAATTTTATCTGCGAAACGTTTAAACCCACACGATTGTGGTCTATTAAGATATTGATCATTTTAATTTTCGCCTGAAAGACTCAAGCTGTCCTTCACATGTTGGATAAATAAGCCATTTTCTATAAGCCTTTTCATTAGATAAATTCCGCGTTCCTCTAGGCCAAGACGAGTCAGTCAACTTCCGGCAAACGCGCACTTAGGGTACCTTGATTCAGGTCTGTGGCGTTTGAGTTATACCGAAACTTGTTACCTTCCCTACGTTTCCGAATCGCACATTCAAATATCCAAAGGCTGGCAGAAACCAAACACACGCCGCCCATCGTGTGGAATAGGCCGTGATAATTGTTCGATTCGTCCTTGAAATACCCTGAAAAATCACGAAAATATAGAAAAACAACAATATTGCTAATTATTGAGGGAAATAATGATTTGATACAAGTGCGATGGCTAGATTTCATAAACAGGGGAGAGAGCAAACATTTCTCTCAGTACAAGAGAATTTTGCCGCTCTGTAACTTCGTATTTAAAAAATCGTATTCATTAAAAACTTCCAAATGGCTTCAAATTATAATTTTTATTAGCGTATTTGGTATTAACCGTTATTCTCAAAGCTTCATTAATCTATGTTTCTAGTGATGATCGGTGAGCGTGCCTGAAAGCACCCGCACTTTCGATTGAACGAAACGTTCAATCCTCATGTGATATCCTCGTCTTTTATAGAGCAGAAAAGCCCATTTGTGCTCAGAAGTTGGGCTCAAAAGATCTCCGACGTGGGTACACATTCAGCTGTTGTTCCTGAGGTAACTGTCTATTATTGAACATCTTCCATTTGCCTTCCGCGAACAACAGTCTAAGAGGCACGGTTTTTGTTCTTCTTTCGTGATCAGTTACGTTACTAGTTTCACTAAATGATCCTTCTGAAAAAGGAAACAGCATCAAAGCTTCCTTTTATTGGTCCTTCAACGGCAGGCGCGATCAACTACGCTTGGCTTCACAAAGCTTTTCTTCGCATGAGTGTAGTTGCTTTAGGAATGAGTGAGTATGAAAGCGTAGTTCAATGAAGGTTATATATGAAGGGATAGATATTTCTTGTAGGTATACGCATATATCCCTGGATATAGCAGAAGGTATATTTGTGCGTCATGTAACTTGCGTCACCTGCATCGAACGGCTGAACAGCTGATAAGCGATATATAAAAAATAAAAAGAAATTTCCAGGCCGAAAAGAGGTAAGTTTTTCGCTTCAACGAGAAATATGGTAATGAAAGAGAGAAGGAGAGAGAGGTCAAATCGTGGGGACTTTTGGGAAAATCAGACGTGAGAACGGTCGGGAACAGCTGGGGGCAATCTAGGGCCCGCTCTCTTTAGTACGAACAACTCGTTTGCGTTGGCTGTAAACAGACCAGGTCACACTATTTTTAAAAGCAACGACCCTCTCTCAGTTCTCCGCTTCCCTGTTAGGTTTTATGATGCCTAGTCACGCAGTGGTTCGCTGAACACCTGGCGGCGTCACAAAACGAGGTCTATCTGTCGCATAAGACGTTTCGAACGAATTTCTGGTAACGTTGTTTTCAGGCGCAAATAAAGCGAAGTGAGGCAAATGAGCTACATACGTTCTGACAGAGCTATATGAAGGTGGTGGTACGTTTTGATATACGAAACGCGGACCTCTGCATCTGAAGGGCAAAGAAACTTTCAAGTTTTCAAATAAGCTTTTTTCAAGCTTTCCGTGAAAAGAAATACGATCGAATTATTAGTTTTCGGTGTCGATCTTAATTTCCTTCACCTTATACGAACGTAAAGGTCAGTTAAATTATCAGTATTTTTAGCTTCTAGCGACGAATTAGATATGATGTTTAATACCAACGTTTTTATATATATATATATATATATATATATATATATATATAGATTTGATGTTTCATTATTATCTACTCAAGAGGTTAGATGCTATTATTTGGATAACTACATTTTGAATACTTTTGATAATAATCTACCTAGCTGGCGGGTATCCGATAGACTTGACGTAGAAATCCCCATGCCGTACGCTAATAGCATCGTAAAACATCTATCAAGCAAAATATCACAAGTATCTTTGGTCTTCGTAACGATAGTTAAATACAAACACAGCTACCTAGACTGTGTCTGTTAGCTTATAACCTACGTTTCATCGAGCAAATTGTGTTTCGATTTCGATGTGCCTTACCTATGAAAGCCGGCCTTAAGAAGCCTGTGATTCCCACAAAGAAGTTACTCAATCCAACCGCAATTGGGGCCCTCTCTATCGGTAAAAACTCCGTGATCAGAATTGGGGTCAAGAACACCTGGCAAGGGTCAATTAGTTTAATTTACCTCATCTCCACATTCTCAGCCAAATCTTGTTTCTTACAGCTTTACATGTTAATATTTATCATATTTTATAGTTGAGGGACATTGTGTTGTTGATCTACATAATATATATATATATATATACATGAATATTTTGACGACTACCAGCACACGCGAATAAATCAAAGGTGATTTGCTGTTTTACATACTAAAACAACACATGTACATAAAAATCCATTGTCCATTACATTTTAGTTATTTGGTTCAATATGTTCTTTATAATATTTGCCCTCAACTTAAACGATTGTTGATCGGTAAACTAGCGCTTATACCCATCTTCCAAGTGCACTTCCCTTATATTTTAGCAAGTTATATAAGCCTGCGTTTGAAATTAAGTTTATAATGGTTTCGTGTCTTCTATGTGACTTACTAGTCCTCCTGTAAGTAGGCCGTAAAGAAACGAGATCACGGAGAATCCTATGTATGACGTTGTATGTGGTAGAATGAAACAAATGGCGCCCATTGAAGCAACGCCAATAATCATAATGTCTCTGTTCGTAAGAATGTTCTTACATGTCAGCCAGCCTGAAACGAAAGCGGGCGGAACGAGATATAGAAAAAAAGAAGTGGCTAAACATTTCACTAAAACGAAGACCGAGAACATATACGAAAATGATCTTTTGCGTTAAGCACATCCACCGGTACAAAGTCTACATTATCATTTTCATTTCATTACTGATCTATGGGTCTCTGCTTCTGCTTGCCTTTATGATACCATTCGTTTCGACAAATGAAAAACATGTTTGTAGTTTTAACTTTAACTAATATACTACACCTAAAAGCTTGTGTTTGAAATCTCCTCTATAAGCTGCAAGTTATTTATTGAAGTTTCCCAACAAACCTAACCTTGCGATGTTTATTACATACTAATACAAACGACTTGGTGAGCACCAGATAAAATAACACTGTAATGTCCTCTCCCCCCGTCCCCCCGGGGCGCCTTACAAGCAAGAGCCTAATATAAGCTGGTCGGTGTCAATTTACGGAATTTTCTAAATCTTTATTTGCTTCAATTATTTGATACGCTATCGATAAAAGTTTTCTTGTAGACAGTGCTCCCTCACTGCGTCCTTGCAGGCAAATAGACTGGTAGCAGGGTGTCAATAAACAGCAGAACATGCGTCGTGTGTCATAGATACAACGTAAAAAAAAGTAACTCACTATCGCCCACGCGATTCATCTCTGTACAAGCGACACCGACACGAACGTGAGACGCTATACAACAAAACGTTTCCTTTTTTGCTTTCCTCATCATGTTAACTGTTGGCTTAATGATAACGAGAATCCCCCTTCTGTTGGAAGAGTGAGCTGTGTCTTATGTCGTTGATGTAGTTAAAGAAAGACTTATCGAGTTATGTAAAATGCATCAAAATAGTACAATCGTTAATACTCGAGAAGCATAGTACGAAGGTCACTAGAAGTTGTAAGGGCCAAACGATGGGTCAGGGACCTCTTTTGTACGGCCATATTCGACAAATAAACTTCTGCAGGTAAATTTTGTCAGTGAAATAGGCTTACTGCACAGTTTACGTCGTCAGCGGATGCCGAAAGTCTCACCCGAATAGAAGACGATTATGTAGACCCCTTTATACATATATTTTAATTACACTTTCCTGGATACCTCACGATTTCTAATCATGCAGCCATCACCGCAGATATGTTCCAACATATAACTACAAAGTAAATGAAGTATTTTAGAATATAGTTGGCACAAACTGAGATTTTACCTGGCACTGGCTTTACAAGAAGGTCCGCAATGCTAAATATTGTTATGAGGTGCATAGCATTTCCGTAAGATATGCCGTTATCCATGGCGTAGTCCGTTATAATGATAAATACCGTAACGTAGACGAAAAGAAAGCATACAGACGATACTGTGACGAGTTGGAAATAGGGGTCCGCTAATATAGAGATTTCCCTTTGTGCTTCACTGAAAAAACGACGGATCAATGAGGGCTGCTTGATCCTGACAACTGAATTTGCTCCAGCGTTCAGGTCCTTGCGATCTGTGTTTTAAAACAAAAGCCAGCATCCAAAGAACAAACGATAAAATAAACTAAACAAGTATTTTGAAGATCTGTCTGGCTATTCTAAATCATGCCGAAAGTTCTACTAGGAGGATACAGTTTGATAGGCATCTCGTACTGAAGCAGACAACCTTCTACTTAGACAATTATCGTTCTTTAATAGTTTATAATGTTTTCTAGAGACACAAGATGATATATAAAATTATGTAATTTAATAGATAACTTTAATTGGCGAAATTATATTTCAAATTCCCTATCCTGAGCTGCTTTACAAGCCCGGAACGATACCCACCGTAGGCATCTTTGGTAATCAAGGGTATTCCATTGGCCTTTTTGACTGCAGCCTGAGAACTGACCGTGACTACGGCGAGCTTGGCTTCCGTGCAGCTATCTAGCCCATTTTCGACTCGCACCTCGATTCTGCCGCCGTTACCAATATTTATTCTTTTAGAAGCTTCCTTGTCCATGGTGTTCGCCGTTCCCTTGTTCGCAAGTGCCGTATCATTCGGAACGGAATTCTTCGACCGTTTTAGAAGCATTGATCCCAGTAAAGCGTGTAGAATTAATCCTGCAATATTGCAATACAGATTGGAAGAAAGCAAGCATTCATAAACCAAGTTGTCTCAGACAGTGTACGAAGTCCATGCTGATCTTGGTACACAAAAACACTGTAGTTGCTCAAAGAGAGAACTTCTTACCATTTTTTCGCTATTGTGTGTACAATTAACGAATAACTTTACCAACTAACACGAGATTGTTATGGTAGTCTGTATGAAAAATAGATCATAGTAGTCTTTTCTATATGAAGACCCGTTGATAAAAAAGAAACTCGACGCGATCTTCCTTGTCTTATATATATATATATATATATATATATATATATATATATATGCAATACGCGACTCCCGTGTACTGTTTACTCACCTCCGTAAATAAGCATTGCTCCTCGAAGGTTAACCTGCTCAATGAAATACTCAATAAGGTACGGCCAAGCAAATGATCCCAACGTAGAACCGGCGAATGCAATACCACACGCCTGGAATAACCTCAGCGTTAATTAACAATAAACATTATTTGAATATAAACCTTGAAGCATTAATTTAGCTTATTTTGAAATAAGTTACTTTTTTTTTTTAAATATATACGTGCTGTTCTATTCCCCTGCTCGGATTAAAAATTGTTTGCTCCGAAAGTCAATCCCTGCCTGAACACACTACGTAATCCGTACGGTAACACTTAATTTGATTAAAACAAACCTAAAATCAATCATTCAAGCCTATCCGTGGATAAACAGGGGACCGAAACCAGCACGGATCTCTATGATACTTAGAAAATGTGGGAAATTGTGCGGAATTCGGTCAGACCATCAATAAGCCTATAGAGGTCTTCTAGGCAGCAAATATTCTGTCAACCATGGGGTCAAAAGGTAAGTTCACTAAAGACAACCGAAAATAAGGTAGTTTTTGTTTTTATCAATTGTGGACAGAAAACAGTAATCAATCTTTACCTAGGTACCTAGGACTGCTCGAGTGTGTTATTTTGTTATAACAGTATTTAGTGGGACAGCTGATGATAAAAATGTTACGGGTTCTTATTCACCACAGAACTCTGAGCGATACCTAGTGGGAGCTAAAGGAAGAGCCTAAGTATAGGCGCTATGGCTTGGATCTCCAGAAAGCGAATCTGGTGTTGCTACTGGTAAAAGAATAGCAGTAGGAAAACTGACTGGCGCCTGCAACCGATACATAATATTAGGATGAGAGGGTAGCCCGTAATGTATAGGCAAACCCTTGGAAGGTCGTAGTGACTCAAAATATGGAAGCCAAAAGTTACACGATTCCTAGGTAGAGACCTGAAGCATGCTCCTAAAAGGGTGTGCAGTTTAACTATTCGAAAAAGTGCTATATTTACGGAATTGGCTGTGGCATGAGCAGTGTGAGCTTTACGCATGTCAATGGCAATAACATTAGCTATTTACAATGGAATTAACCCATTTCAGTGAAACACAAACTACGCATAGGACCGCTTACTATTACCAATCCACTTAAGGACGAGACGTCTTTTATCAATAGTGAGTGACTAAATTATACTTTCATTCCGGACAAGCTGCATCCAATGTCAAATGGAAGGCACGCTCGATCCACACTAGGACCCCAATATGGTTCGAGATTTTCGAAAGACAAGGGAAAATACTCTTTTTCTTCAGACAAACTTTTTTTTAACTACCTACGATTTGATGAGTGGCTTTAAGCCAGCGTGCATATCTACTGTACGGCGTAAAAACTATTTGGCTCTAATTACGTTGAACGTATTAGAGATCAAATGGAAGCAGACGATACTCATTATTTATAAGATTTAAGAATACATCATAAATATTGCCTTAATAAGCCCTTTCAGAGTCTCTTCCATAGACACAATTGAACCTACGTTCGATACCGGTCGCGGACAGATTTTACGTTAGAGGAGATGAACCGTTTGAAGCAACGCTTAACGACAGTGCAAGACGTAAAACCCGAAACATTTAGTTAAGGCAGAACTAACGGTTATATTTTTTTGAGGCGTATGAAAAGTAATACTTTACTTTATATTAAAAATAGTTAGCTAGTAATACATAACTATATACTTAAAGAACAGCTGAATATAATTTTCTTTGGTGCCTACGCGCCCTCGACGCTTTTTTTTTCGAAAATCGATAGCTCTTTTTAAAACGGATTCCCCTACTCGAAATTCTACGCAAAACGTGTGTGAACGTCGACGATTGAGGAATACATTTATTATTGATTCTGTCGATCTGCTATACTAGCCATGTAGTAATCTATTGCGAGTTATGCCACGTGAAGGAAGTAGACAGTTCAGTCTTAATTGGGTTTCGTATACATGCTATTTTTTACAATGGCGAATCCCGTTCAACAGTTCGACCCAATAGCCCAATGTATTACGTTGAAAAAAAGTTTTGGAGCTTTTTTTACAGCTTTTTTTTTTTTTTTTTTTTTGTTTTACTCAGACTGCTTCGACGGCCACCTGAATTTGAAAACCTTAACCATTGTCACAACTGTCCTTCGAGGCTCTAAGTAGGAAATCTTTCTGCATCCTCTATAATATTCAGATCCTTCGCGGACAGACTTTCATCGTTGTCGCTCGCTGGGCAATTACCTCAGCGGCCTTAATTTCGACACAAATCAAGAACATAACGTTTTAAAGGCCAGCAAATATAAAACATGGTAAGTCCTTGACATGGCATTAAACATAGCGTGTTTTTTTTCAGTAAAAAACGCAAGAACTTATTTTTTAAGCTCATACATTGGCCGTATGTCGAAATGAATACAAATAGGTACCACATTTCGCCTAGGAAGTACTTTGAGCTAGGACACGGAATCATACCCTGTTAGCCTTAACATTCCAATGCCAAAACTGCTAGCTGAACTCCATTTAGTATTTGGGACGGCTTTAACCAACGAGCGTATGGTGTCATTTGTAAGCGTACAAAGGCAGTACGTACGATACGACAAGGTGAAAAATGATCGTCAGCGAGCCGCGACGGCCATGCCACAGGTTTATTTGAGATGTATTTCTTTGTTATATCTGTCTTCGAAAACGACACGTTCGAGATTCATACACTTGAAGATGTTGGTTTCTTCCTTGTCCCTCTATCATGTACGAATAAATTTTTTCTTTGCTCTGGATTTATATGCATGTTGTTATGTTAAATTTAAAATAACGTTATACAAACTGCTTGCACGATAAACGTTGCCTTGGAGTTCGAAGGTATTATTAAGGCGTGTTCGTTCGCCCACAGTATCGTGCTTAAGGTGCACACGTAATTAGGAACTGCTTTTTCAAGGTACAACCGAATCGAAACCCTATCTAATAATTACCATAACGTTATAGCTTATATTTCGTATCTTGTTGTTGTTGTTGTTGTTGAAAGGCCACAAGGCGCCCATACTTTAGGTGTCGTTAGACATTTTAGCCTCTTTTGCCGGGCAATTTAAAGAACCGAACACGTTACTTATACGTAACCAAACGGCAGACATCAACGTATCTCCGCATCCACGTTTAAACCAGCTTGGCAGTTTATCAAATTTGCCTTGCGGCACGTTCTTATAACACGCCCCCACACGCACACATATGCAAAGTAGACAAATGGGTCTCTTAGAGTGAACGAAAGCGTTTGTGACGTTATCAAAGCACTCCAATAGCCGGCAACACCTTCTGATGTTTTATAGTTATTTATATACAGCTGGATCTATAGACGCAGAATATAGTTTAGCAACAGATTTAAACTTCGTTGAACGGTCGGCCTAAGCCGGCCCACGATGCCCCTAAGAAGGGCGCTAATACAACGTACAGACGGCACAAGCTACCGGCAGCAGCACCGGTAAATTCTTATCAAACGACTAGATATAACTAACAACAGTGATATTTTGAAACGATCTCGATAATATTATGGCATAGAGGGTCTTTATTAATAGGCTAGTCAGTTGTGTATCCAGATAGATCAACTGTTTCATATAGCCAGCTGCATTAAGGAACTTACTCTGTCTATTGCCTAGTTGGTTACCTTAAAAGCTGCAAGAAACCGACGCTTCGGCCCTATGCTAGATGGTGGGATAACAGTCCACTCTGACAAGTCTCTCGTATAGACGTTATTTTAATACAGTCCTTGAAAGGTCAACAAAAAAAAAGTCGATCTACATAGTTTTTTTTTTTCTTTAATTTCAATGTCCGTTACATTGCTTTCGTACTTTATGCCGCATTAGATCATGCAACAGCATGCCTCAGTACCTTTTCAAGGAACTTCTAAGCTCATAATTTTATTGATTTGGCGATCTTCGTCTGGCATCTTAAACTAATTGACTCTGATCAAGTTGTAAACAAACTACGTTCACCGCGAAACAAAATGAGACATAGAATTAACCTAATGAACACCGTAAAGCATGGGGCTTACCAGGGCACGGCGTTCTGGCTCGAAACGCTCATTAAGAAGGATCGGGGTTAAAGTGGAAGCTAGCCCGGTGCCAATACCGTACAGGCCGCCTATGAGAAGAATAAATATCGTCACATTATAAGCAAAATAGCATAGAATAGATGAAATGGCAGCAGTGAGCACTCCCCAAGTCACAATTGCCCGAATCGACATAATCTTCTCCAGCAATCCCGCAATCGGACCTGAAATCATCAGACGGAAAAAGCCGAAGAGAATAGGTAAACTTGAGGAGGTTTAGTTTCATTAATAAGTAGTATACAAAACATGTACTGAAATAGTCGCTTCGACCGTCTATCTTTTTTTCTATAGTTCTAATGAAGTTAAATAATTATTAAAAGTTTTCTTATTAAGCTAAATCCGCCCATCGAATACAATTAAAATTTTTGAGATTGTCCATATAGTATATAAGTAAAAAGGTCCCATAAAAACGGTAACATCAACTAAAGGAAGAATAGTGTTTTTTTTCGTCTACTATTAAAAGTATTAGCAAACCTAACTATATTTGTAGATTATAGAGGATTTTTTCTATTTACAGTTTAGGGAAATCGCATGTATCGAAGTTCTCCGGCACGTGTTGCCATCTAACTAACCCTATGGTGGTTGCGTTATAAATTTTTCCTTTATGGGCACCAGGAGAACTATACTCTGCTTTAAATCAAGGGAAAGCTCTTCATGGATAGAGATAATTATGTAGATAACTTGATTTCATGGTGCATCTTTGACCCACGGCGTAACGACGTTTCGTTGAAAATACTAAAGTGGAGCGAGCTGAAGTAGTTCGGGAATCTCTCAATACAAAAGGATGCTTCTATCAGACCATTAGCTGCTGGATGAACGCTTGACTTCTGTTTACCAATAAGGTGACGTGAGTGGTCTGACTGCACGAAACTGTGCCAAATTAAAAGCCATAGGAAAAAAAAAATAGTTAATTTTTTCGAAGAGACATCTCTCGTCGATATTGATCACCTACAGACAACTAACTGTCAGATTATCCACATTTAGATACCTCGTTAACATCAAAATCTCTTTCTAGACGGCCACGGATAAGGTAGAACGTTCCTACGCGTTAGTTGCACGTATGCCTACCTAGCAGTAATTGGAATTCAATGCCAGTTTGTTTCCACAGGTAGTCACCAGAATCAGTGCAGCTTGCAGTAACTGTGTCGTCTTTTCCGATCGCTTTAAGGCACAACGATTTTTTGACAACTTTAGTCGTCAGTCTGGTCATATACTTGAATTAAGAAACACATTGTAACATCAAAAACTTGCGTCGCCCGATTAGCACTCTAGCCATACCTTGTAACTAACTAAGAAAAGCAAAACACTTACGTGCATTTATGAAAATGCGGACGTAAGAGCAAACGTTGGCGAACAATAAGATTTCTAGCTTCTGGAATCAATTGCGGCGGACATCCATTAAGTCAATCGAGATACTTAGACTTATGCCCGTCTAATACAACTTCTGCAACTTAGAAATTTTCAATTATCGTTTATTTAACACAATGAAAGAAGGTATTTTGGTGCTAGTGTGACTTGATTGAAGTTTAAGTTTAAACTAGGATCGAACCGCATTCGAATAGAATTTAGTATATATTATTGTTTATAAATGGGAGCAACAATGCTTCGATCACGCCGCACAGAGCGTACGCATAAACCAGCTTCCTATTTCTCCCATGTACAGAAATACAGACATTTATCTAGAGTACTAACGATTTTTCCGTATGCAGAACTAAAAAACGTAAAACGTTTGAATAAAGGTTCTGTCCTTTGGCTGATTTAAAAGCAACGCTCCGACGACATCAGCACTGGCTGCGTCCGAAAAACACGAAGAAGTAACATTCAGTTTAATTCAACTTTTCTGATGGCTTTCGTGGCAGCGTGGACCTATCGTACTAGAAACGTAAAAGTTGAGATGAAGATACATTGGAGAACGAGTAGCTGCGCGTACTTCTTATCAGATTAACCGAAACGTAAATCGAAACGAATGACTTCACGTAAACGCTGCGGGTGGTGTCGAATACATAAATATAAGGCACCTGCTGTACCCACTTGATTAGAGGTCATGATAAATTGATGCTACGTCAATTGTCTATGCAAACCCCCCATACTGAAACTGTGATCGATGCTATCGCAACCAATTCCACGTTATCAGTAAATGTCAGTGTACAAAGAAACTTACATAGATATAACCTACAAGCAAGAGATAACCTACGAGCATACCTAACATTATGTCCGGAAAATTTCAAGGTTTCCTATTCAAAAGGAGTTATTATCCGAAACGAAATGTAATGGGATTGTATATTGGACAGTGCGGCCGTATTACACCCGGTGAGGCAGCGACAACAATCATCGATAGTATACATCGCGCTTCGATCTTGAACAATGGAAGGCAAGGCGAGGATGATGGTGTGCTTGAAGCAGCAGTTTAAAATAATGGCAGGGAACGCGCGTACGCATGGTGTAATGCCTTTCTTCTAAACGGATTTCAGATCTGAATGGTACTTTTATGAAGTTGAAAATGCGATGACAGGACGTCATGCATCGCGTTTTCCCTGGATCATTATTTAAATATAGCGAGAAAAAAAAAAGTGTATGTACCATTTTGTGAACAAGAACATTTCAGCGTCTGGATCATTGTTTTTAGCATCCATCCACTTCTCTACATATTCAAGGGAGCAGTAGCGAAGGGCCAGTGCTTATTACGTACAAAAGGAAGACTGTTCAGTGAAAACAATACAACCTAGATCAACCTTTTGCTCCTCATTCATAACTAAAAAATCTGCTATGTCCTTCAATATGACACTGGGTAATGTTGGAGCTGCGACGGATGCTTCAATTGGTATTCTATAAATGACTTGAATACTGATATTGTTTCTTCAGTTTTCAACCGTTGCACTTCATGATTTTTTGGTCTTGGATCGAACCTTGAAAAAATCCGTTTTACGACTTCTAGGAACAGCACTCCGTGGAGCCCGACCGACGAGCCAAGTCGGTCACCGACCGCTGAATGTTTACTAGTGGATGAAGAGTTAATTCGTTAGAACTACACACCCGTTTTCTACTATCATACAAGTACATGATTTTTCATGCACGAAAGGAATGTTACCAGTGTTGGATATAGAAAACGATAGTTGTTCTTTGCTGGGGGCCAGTAGCGACCTTTAACTCGTCCTAATCACTGGTCACCTAACAGGGGTATTTGTTAGGCTCTCTGAGTCAAACTTCTACGATGTTCCAGTTCAAGCAGTTTTGTTACTAGTATACGAACTAACAACGACCGTTCAAGTTCTGCTTGTAGCATTTTAGTATTGTGCTCTGTGATTGCTCTTATCTATCTTCCCAACGATACTGCAGTCTATTTTAGGGCAATCTATAGACAGCCTTGTTAAGCATTCCAGTTAATGATGAACTCAATCTCATTCTCGCTTTTCTTCTATCCTCCCGTTGTTGCTGCTATTGCTGCTGCTGCTGCTGCTGCTGCTGATCCACTCACCGCAGTTTTTATCGCCGTTGCTGTTGTTATAGAAACTATAGCTAAAATATTGCTCGGACGCCGTACGTACATGGAATAGTATATCGTATTTTTACTATTATGCTATAAATTGTCATAGTACAGGTAGTGATTGTGCGTTCCATGCCTTTTTCAGGGGCTATACGCCATCTATCGTCGTCTTTCTAGCCTTCAGCAACAGCGACAATATAGATGGCGCTGAATGAGGTGGTTTTGTAATGTGGCAACCGCGCCAACTACTTTGAGCAGCACGTGCGCCGCCGGTTTAGACGAAGTCAACGTTTGCGGTCGTTGCCCGTTATCGGCTTCAGCAAGATCATAAACATCATTGTCGTAGTTAGCGTCGTTATCGGTGAAAAAAACTCGACTGCAGCAGAAGCGGAGGCGGTTAATTTTCGAATTATCAACTTGCTTCGAAACCTCTAGTTCGCAGTCTAAATAAGCAGGCAAAAAACAAACGGAACGGCCAATGTGACTGCAGTATAGCCGCAGTCTGCTTCATATCTCTGAAAGCTGTTTTTAACAGAGACAGTAGCACGACAAAAGTTGCAATTCAACTTTTACCAGCAGTTCATTTCGTAACTCCTTCTTCTTCTATTATATCTCCATAGTCCTGTTTGCTTTCTGTCGCTAACCGGTCCTAGCAATCTTTTATCGGCTCAATTCCCCCGCCATGTTGTCCGACAATTTAGCTTGTCGAATTGTGCCTTGCTCACTTCTCTGCTGCTGTTTTCGAATAACCCGATTTTGCCGTTCATATTGGCTTCCCCTTTTAGTTACTGCCGTCTCTGATATTAATACGGTTGTTAACTTGCACTTCTCGACCAAAGCAGCCGTTGTAAATTTCAGATCATGGAATATAATCATGTTTGCGATTCATAGTCAATATTTCGCAAATCCCTCTTCTATGCTCGACTCCTTTTTCAATTTTTTGATATTCACTGATTGGTCGCCAGCGAGCGTTTTCTACGCCATTGCAACCCAGTACCCATCTGGCAGCAAATGACGACCCACTATGGCCGCAAGCGCCGATAGCTGGCCTAACCATGATCGTCACCTTTATAATGATAATAAGGGGTAATGAGGTCTCCAATGACACGTTTGAATTCCTTCTTTTTCTATTCGCAAACATATATATATATAAACATATATATGGTATTAAAAATAGTCATCCTTCTGAAAAATATTGGGCTGCAGAAACCATTTTTTAATTTCATCGGAGGATGCTTGTGAACGTGGCTACATTAAAGTATATCTCAGTATTTGAATAGCAGCACGAAGTGACATCTGCTACATACAATTAGGAATACTTTGTTTTTACGTTTCTTTTACGCAAACTTGAATAGATCTGTAAATTTCTTTAAAAACCTAAATTTTGTACACTTTTCATCCGATCTGAGTGTTTCAAATGTACCTAGATAGCTTACATACTTAGATAGACAGATAGATAGAAAAGAAACATCATGGGTATCCTCTGCGTATTCAAAGAGCTCAGCTTTTTCAAGCGATAAATTATATATATATATATATATGAGAAGTGTGTCTATGCCCAGATTCGGACCCAGACCACAACATGTCCCTAAGATTGGCAGGCAAATACGTTAACCACTGAGCTTTGACAGGGAGCTGAGCTAGTAGTTTACCGGTATGAAATAGCTCAGCTTGAACCGA